CCACCAACATCCCACCGTTCGGTCCAGCGTTCAGCTGTGGGTCCACCTCACCTCTTGATGGCTTCATAACGCCCCCGTTCTGTCCATCAAATGAAGTGGCTGCGCCAAGACCTACGACCAAGCACGATTGCGGCATCGAGTCCAGCGCCCTCCATTTTGAGAACCCCGGCTCGGTTCACGACAACCCGGTGACCCTGGAGAGAGGCGCGTCACGCGACTCGCGCGTCAGGGCCTACGACGATGACGTCAGACGGAGCGAGTGCGGCCATGACGCCACCGTCAGCCCTTCGCTGCGCAACACCTCGGCCCCGTCCATGATCGACGGGTCTCACAATAGACAGCACATGACCGCCGCGGACAACGGCAGAATGTCCGGCTCGGCTCACCCAATCAACCCGTACTTGTGTTCCGGCGAGGAGAGAATGACTCACAGCTTCAACCCCTCGCGCTACGAGAGAATGGCCTCGTCCCTTTCACCGAGGTCCCCATTAGGTTACGCCTCTGTTGGTCCGTTGATGGAAGCCGGGGGCTCCCAGGTCTCGGGCGGCGAGCTGATGGTGGGAGGCGGTGGTGGTGGTTGCAGTGGCATAGGGGCTGCTGACCCGGAATATTCCTGGATGGACAAGAAGAAAGGGTTTGGTGACGGGGGAAAGAAAGAAGACCCGAGCAGCTCTCCCCAGTGCCTGAACAACGGGATGGCTCTGCTCAATTCATGTAAGTCAATGCATTACTTTTACCTTGTGATTATGACCGACTAAATGAGACATCGAACACCTACACGGTGGCAATACTGGCGATCACGCCTACCGGGGAATCGGAAGTGAAATCGTTGAGGTACATGTCGGGAGTGGGGGATTAGGAGTAGTTTTGAAAGCAGGGTTTAGACAGGGTGGGGTTTAGACTGGAGGGTTTTTAGACAGGGTGGGGTTTAGACTGGAGGGTTTTAGACAGGGTGGGGTTTAGACTGGAGGGTTTTAGACAGAGTGGGGTTTAGACTGGAGGGTTTTAGACAGGATGGGGTTTAGACAGGGTTGGGTTTAGACAGGGTGAGGTTTACATAGGGTGAGGCTAAGACAGGGTGCGGTTTAGACAGGAGGGGGTTTAGACAGGGTGGGGTTTAGACAGGGTTGGGTTTAGACAGGGTGAGGTTTCGACAGGGTGAGGTTTAGACAGGATGGGGTATAGATAGGGTGTGGTTTGGTTTAGACAGGGTGAGGTTTAAACAGGGTGAGGTATAGACAGGGTGGGGTTTAGACTGGAGGGTTTTAGACAGGGTGGGGTTTAGACTGGGTGAGGTTTACATAGGGTGAGGTTTAGACAGGGTGGGGTTTAGACAGGGTTGGGTTTAGACAGGGTGAGGTTTCGACAGGGTGAGGTTTAGAC